TCAAAATTTTTGTCCCCTAGTGGCCGGATGTATCCAAATGGATACATAAAGCAATTAGATGCCGAAGCACTTATTGGTTCTGAAAAATAAACTTTTCCTATCTCTATTGTGTAGGAGCAATAAAAATGCACGAAAAGATTTTTTTGCTACCTGTCTTCTGGTAGCCGGCTGGAAAGGGTTAAGAAAAAAAAGAATTTTGTGTTATTGAAAACCATATGTACCCTTTCATCCTTTTTTTTCATATATAACCTCTTTGGCTGCAAGTGAATGTTAGTTACAAGGATGACTTAAGTACTTTACTGTAGCGTAGTGTATGATTGATGACAATTTGCTTGAATGAAGAATATACAGCTTTCAATACAATTGAGCAACACACCAAATCAGTTAGTTGACAGAATATGCTTCATGACTGAGTTATCTTTTTTTTTGTATCTGCTAGTTTGGATTATTAAACTTTTTACTGCCGACTCTAAACTACTCGAAGAATACAATATAGTTGATTATACAAATACACATAAAGTAAAATATCAAAAAGAGATGATCCAGTCATGAAGTATTCTATCAACTAACTCATTTGCAGTATTGGCTAATTGTATTCAATAATATACATTCTTCATTGAAGCGGATCCTAACCAACATTCAATGTAGGTCATAGGAGTTCGATATGAAAAGCATTCAGATGAAGAAGAGTTTTTCCCAGAAGTATATATACATTACAGGTGACTTATTTGAAATATAATTAAGATAAATCTAGATTTCTAATGAAACTTACCTATTGAACTGTATTTGAAAATTCAATATTTGTCATGCGATATTATTCCTGCATAAATTTCTGCTAAGATCTTCATTATAAATTCATAATTTATTTGCTTTATTATTTAGTGACGAAGAATCGGAAGATGATGAAGATATGGATCACTCATCGGTACCTCGAGGAAATAAATTAGGTATTTAATTCATCATTTGTTATATCATTTAACATAATATTTCTTTAGAAAATGGTGCAGGAGGCCAGACTTACGGCGGTATGACAGATGATTTAAGTGATAATGAAGATCAAATGCAAATGGGTCGAGGAGTCGGTGGAGCTGGTATGGACGATGCAGATGATGATTTAGGTATGGAGATGGATCCTAGACGAGGAAATAGTGGTGTTCATCAAAGAGGAACCATGAGCGGACAACCAAGTGCAAGTAATGAACAACGACGACAACGACAGCAACCACGAGCACCATATACTGAAGATGATGATTTTTAATATAATTTATTTTGTTGTTTTTTTTTTATAATTGATCTTATAATCTCGCTCACAATCCTGGCCTTTTTTGTTTGTTTTCAATTTTATGACAGTGAAACAAAAATAAAATCTCAATTCTTAATTCTTAATTCTTAGTTACGATTTACAAGCTTAAATGTAATAATACTTAATCGTCATCGTCAATAAAAACATTCTTTCCTATTGACTAATAATATATAAAAGAATCACATTGGAAGGAATTTGAATTTATTTCAAATATAATATGTACACAGTGGGGAGGCGTTACCTTCACTTCACACATAAAAATGTCGCTAGAGAAACATTTTTTTTGTTATTGTGTTCTTGATTGATTTGACTTTTCTTTTTTTCTTTTATTGTGTATATAATGGCTGGTCGATTAATATCCGAAGATTCGGATGAAGAATTTCAAGAAATACAATTGAGTAAACTTCAAAATAATTATCGACATGCACGGGAAGATCAACATGAATTCACAATTGAAAAAAAAGATCAATTACGAACGCAAAGGTAAAATTTGAGAAATCTTTAATTAAATAACAAGTTATCTCGTTTTTAAAGTAAAACTCTTCAACAATTAGCAAAGGAACGTGATGAATTAGATAAAGTATATCGTTTGGCTGAAAGTCTTGAAAATCAAAAACGTGATGAAGAAAAAACAAAAAAATTACGGGAACTTATACAAACAAAAGGTATTTATGTCCATTATTTTAAAAATTATATTTAAATCAAATAATTTTTAAGATGAAATTCAAAATGAAATACAAAATGAACAAGCAATATCAACTGATCTCGATGCTAAATTACGTGAATGGGAAAAGAAAATTCGTCAAAAACAAACAGAAATCGGTGGTTCTAATGCTGCAATTACATTTAATGCAAATGTTCGTAAACAAGAACGTGTTTTAGAAAATCGTTTAGATACGGTATGAGGATTTTGAATATGGCTTATAACATTTTTTGTTTGTTCTTTTTACATAACAAGGCTTTAAAACGATTTAATTCCTTACTTACTACAAATAGTCTATTACGTTCTGAAATTGATAATTTACGAAATGAAAGAGAACGTTATGAAAATTTATCTCAAAAATCTGAAAATGAACTTCGAGATTTACGTGTACAATTAGTAGAATGTATTGAACGTTCAGTTACATCATATGAACAACGGTATGATAATATTAAAATTCAACTTAATAAATTTGATTATTTCTTTTTTTAAAAGATAAAAAGGTTAACAATGTTATTCATATTGGAACATCAGATTAAATTGAATTCTTGCTTTTACATAAAGGATTTTAAAAAAAAAGGAGCAAAGTAGTCTAAGAATTAATTATTGATTTAGTCGATTTTTGCTATCAAAAAACAAAATCATGCTTTTAAATAGATTTCAACAATGTTTGCAATATGTAGAAAGAATTTATCTAACGAACAAAACTTTGTGTATTTTGATCGATAGATTACACCGACTAATATACAAAGAAAATGATTACAAAAAAAAACAAAAAAACGTTTTCTTTTCCCTGTTTTTTTTTTCTATTAACTAATATTTGATCATGTTTTGTTTGTTGCTTAAATTTAATGAAATCTTTTGTAAAAATCTTTTAGTAAAGATGCAAATGCAAAAGCAATTATTCTTCAAAGTAAATCATAAATTAATTTATTTCCTTTTGTACATTTTTGTTTTTTAATCATGCACATATAGCTAAAGCTGAAACAGACAAATTAACAGCTGAAGGTGAAATGAGAGAACTTGAACGACAAATTTCTCATGATCGGAAATTGCGTGATTTTATGAAACTTAAATCTCAAGAACGACAGGAAGATGAAGGCCTTGTTACGTATAGAAAACGCAGAGGTATTCAATTTGTTCTTTTTTTTTTAAACGAAATGAAGAATACTTTTTCTCTTTGGTATTGGTTTGTAGAAGCTGAAGCAAATGAAAAACGTCGTAAAGAAAAAGAAGAACATTCAGTAGAAGCATATGAAAGTAAATTTAAACAAATTCAAGACATAAATGGTGAACAAGATTTAGATAAACTTGTTGATAAATTTATTGAAGGTATAAAAATATTCATAATATTTTTTTCTAATTAAATTATTTTCTCAACGAAAAAATTCTTCGTTTTTAGTTGAAGATAAAAATTTTGCTTTATTTAATTATATTAATGAATTAAATAATCAAATTGAAATGTTACAAGAACAAATAGCTGATATTAAAAAAGAAATTCGTCGTTTTGAAGCACAAGGTGTTGAATTAGAAGATCAACGACAAAAAATGCTTGATCAAATGGAAGATAAACGTTCACAAGCAGCAAAATTAGCCGAAGAATATGAAGAAAAAATGCGTAGTGCAAAAAAAATTCTTGATCAATGTCGAGCAGGTCTATTCTTTGTTCTAGTGATGCAGCTATAGATTGATGCATTGATCTAGACATGCATGTCAAGAATTCTGATGGTCTTACATTCATTAAGACTTTTGCGGTGATCGGAGGAAATCTATTTCAAGAAAATAGCTGAATTTGATAAAACATGACTAAACCTTGTGAACTAACCAGAGAACCTCTTCTAGTGTCAATTCGTTTTTCGATTCGAAATGATGCTCATTTGATGAGTTCTAGAGAGTCATAGAGAAGTTTAGTATGATTTAGTTTTCCCGACTTTCATTCTCGAGATATTGAAATTTTATTGATTTTTTTTCCAACGAAAAACTAGACTTCTCTTCAGATCATGAGAAGATTACTTGATAAGCAAGTTGTAAATTTTCTAGTGTTTTCTTTGCTGAAATATAAAATATTGGAAATTCTCTTATATGTAAAAGCAAAGTTTGTTCATATATCTACATATCTACAGGAAGGAAATACCCGTTGTAAAATCAACTAATCTCATTAAGAACTTTGTTTATACAAAGCTTGACGCCAAAAATTGAAAGTGATCTAAGGAAGACCGCAGTTTTTTGTTGAAAAACTCAGTAGAATTTCAGATATCTGATGAACGAAAGCTCAGAAAAAGCAAACTGTTCTAGACTTTATTATTACTTACTACTACTCATCAAATAAACATTGTCTTCGTCGGAAAACGAACTCAAGGATTTCAACAAATTCCCTATTCATTCGAGCTCCTAGAGCGCGAAATCATTTAGTTTATTTTTAGAAAATTTATTTACTTTCTTGAAGTGGCCCCTCTGATCGAAAAAATTTGAAATTAATTCAAGACTGTCATCAGTAGCAAATTCAAATGGAGAACACTTGAAGATGACTGACCTTCCCTTCTGAAATATTTTTCAATCTTTCTCAGCATAAAGTGCCCAAAAATGAGCCGATACGAATTCTAATGAGCTTCAAAACACGTATTGTGACCACGATTATCTTTATTTTTCAAAATCTTAGATCCAACACTAACACGAACATAAGTTTCACTGTCATCGTTACACGCCTATTTTCTTCTATTCAATATTTCAAAACTAAATTTTTGATCACTTTTCAGGTATTGATTCAATATTTAAAAAGATTGGTTGTGATCGTCGACAAATTGATCATTTATTACAAAGTCATGAAGGTGTTACTGAAGATAATATGTTACGATATTTAGGTACTATTGAAGAAAGAACAAATGAATTACTTATGGCACAAGCAACTATGAATGCAAAAGTAAAATAAGAATTTTTTTGTCAAAAAAGAATATTTTTAAGTTTATTGAAAATTCTTTTTGTTTCTATTTAGGAACAAAATATTCCATTACGTGAACGTGCACCGAATCTCATTGGTGATGGTCCATCTGGACCAGCACCACATGTTCATGTTCATCTTCCAAATACGTAAGTGTATTTATCAATTGTTTGAGCATTTTTTTTATTTTTAATTTTTGTGATAAAATCATATAGAGACGATCGTCGTGATCAAGAAGAAAAAGTCGAAGACGAACTTAAACCATTAACACGTGAAGAATTAAAACAACGCGCAATTGATCATGTTAGAAATTTAGAAAAACGAGCCTTACAAGAACAAAGTAAATATCCAGATATGTCACCAACAGCATCACGTGAAAAAAGTACAAATGGTGCATCAAAAAGTGCTGGTGGAGAAACAGGAAAAACACCAACTGCTCGTGGACGTTAACTACTAATACATACCGAAACGGAAAAAAAAAACAAGCATAAACATTTTTTTCTTGTCTATGTTTGTCGCTTAAATATAATAATTTATAGTGATCAGGAAATTCACTAACCAATTTCATACAAAACTAAATATTTTCAGTTCAAAAAAATAAAACAGAAACTCATTTATTTATTAATACTGCAATCATTTGATCAGTACAAGAGAAAAAAAAACATTTGTATGATTATATAAATGAATAAGTGCATTCCAACTTGTACATTTTATACTAAGGCACCCAATAATGTTTTCGGCGCAATAAATAAATCGATCTTTTTATTATAATATGAATATAATGACAAGTAACAAAATCATTTTTTGAATAAGAAAGCTTAATTGTTATTTTGATGTATATATACGTATGAAGTATAATCAAATAGCTACACATCACTATAATCGATTAGAAAAAAGAAAAGACATGATGAAAACACTCACTATTTTTATTAGTGTTTTAGTTCTTGTTAACAATATGCCTTTCGATACTATTTTATTGTCAAGAGAACTTGTTGAATTATCTTCCAATCCCAATGACTGTACCAATGCAAGTCAATGTTTATTTTCGGATGAATGTACTACATGTGAAAATGGTCGTGGACCAGATTGTAATCGAGCAACTTGTATTAATGGAAAATGTAATATAATTAAACGATGTTCTCAAGAGATTTTATCTATTTCTACAGAAACGTCTCTCGTTACCAATCAATGCAAAGGAACTGATGCAAGTAATTGTATTTTCAATAAGTTATGTGAGCTTTGTTTACAAGGTTATAATCCAGCTTGTACCGAAGCTATATGTGTTAATGATCAATGTAAAATGATTTCACCTTGTTCAATATATACACCAACAACACAATCTTCTACAGTTCCTGTTGAATGTCAAAATGATGGTCAATGTTCTTATGCTAAACTGTGTGCTGATGAATGTCAACATGGTACACATCCATTATGTGCTATAGGAAAATGTGTTAATAATATATGTCAAACTATTTTACCATGTTCACAAAATTTTGAATGTACAACTGAAGATCTAAGTCAATGTGTTACTTCTCAAATATGTGCTCAATGCTCACTTGGGTATAGTCCAACATGTGCTCAAGCTACTTGTGAAAATGGTCAATGTAAAACAATTATGCCATGTAGTATCTTCATAGAATCATCGACAACTGTATTCTCAATTAATACTTGTACTCATGATGATGATTGTTCTCATCTTCAAAATTGCGTCGATGAATGTAGTAATGATACTACACCACTTTGTACATCAGTTGAATGTGTAAATGGTAAGTGTATTGATATCAAACCATGTTCACAACGGATCTGTAACACACAAACAACATGTCCATATAATCAACAAAATTGTTTAACTTGTCCAGAAGGGTATGGACCAACATGTGAACAAAGTGTTTGCTCACATAGTATTTGTTCAATAATACCACCATGTTCAAAACATGATTAAAAATTATTATAAATATAATACGTACAACGAGCACAAGACATTAATTGCATGAACATAAGTTTAACAAAAAAAAAAAAAAAAAACATTTTAGTTCATATATTCTTAGAATTATGAACAAGTCAAGAAAATTTTTGAACTAATGTGTTCATTTTAAATGCTTCATACTAAAAATTAATCACTTATTGACAAATATGTATCAATAAATGATAAAATATATTTCTTTAACATGAATCGAATTACACAAAAAAATAAAAATGTTCTAGAAAGGTAAAATGTCTCGATAGCATTGCATGTATTCATTAAATACGAATTAGTCGTATTTAATTAATTCTTTCAAGACGGACTACCTGAATCCGTATCGGAAGATTTTACATACGAAATAGTTTTTATAAACATTAGGTATTAATTAACCCATGTGATTCAAAGCGGACAAAAACTGTCGATAGATCATTTGGTATAATGTGTGCTGTATCGGCGGTAGTGCAAATAAATGTGCGACATAGATATTCAATGAAATGAAATGCATAGGTATTTACGTGTATGATATTTGCCAGATAAATACATGTGAACAATTATTGTTACTCTTAAAAGACATTGTCTGTCATATTTCTTGAAATGTTAATATTTTTCGTGTTAAACTATTCATTTTCAATCAAAGAACAATAGAGAAATATGATTTTGAATAATGTATTTTGTAATATTGAAAAACAAAGAGCATTTATTTCGTTTTTCAGAAATTTTAATTTTTTCATTATAAAAATTGAATTTACTTTTTTTGGAAAGCAATAATCAATCATATCGTACAATATCGTGCATTACAAAAAGAAACAGGTGATAAGAAGTAAACATAAAAATTACCAATACAATAAATTACACTTGACTTTAAAGAAATAAAACATTCACTGACATCGTTAGCAAAGCAAACAAATCCATGAACTATACTATCAAATGTTGTCGGTAATGTACCAGTGAACCAGCCTGCAGCATCAGCACCACAATGATTCCTACCAGGTGATGAAAGTGGTATTATAGTGCCACCACTACCAACAAATCGTATCCAAGTGCCACCATTACTTATATTAAATAATGGTCCATTATCACACGAATCAGATAATCCACTTTGAGCAACATTTCGTGTTGGATCATTGATAGTTGTATACGATAAACAAGGTGCT